GTATAGAGAAAGTGACGCTTATTTTTAGTATTTAGTGCTTAAAACCTCTTTTTTTGGATCTACTGTGATAGTCATAGAATACTACTTCTCCAAAAGGCAGATCATGATATAAGAAATTGAATAGTCTCATAGGATGGAAATACGAAAAAAATACAATAAAAAGCAGAGGTTAGATATGAGTTTAGATCTGAGTCAGTTATTGAAGAGGTATGGGGTAATAAAAAGGGGCTATGTTATTGAGAAATAACTCTGTTGGGAGGTCGAAGCATTGGGAAGAAAATTAAATTCACTACTAACCGTTCCTGTGCTGGCTTACGGATGTGGAGATTCAGTGATGGAAAAGGTATGATTCCTGCCCCACTGCATTGCAGGAGGTGCACACGTGCACACAACTGCAAGATAAAGCAGAACTGGATAAGACATAGTTACAGAGAAAGGGCATTCTAGGAAGAGTGTAAGAAAAATGCAATTTCATTCATTAAGAGTGGAAATTACTCAGAGTGCCCAACATTCTAATATAGGGCTGCTTTTATTGGCTCCTGAAAACCATTAGGCTATTATTCCCTCAAATCAGAAGCATGCCTCTTTTTGTATATATGTCACAATAGCTTTTATTTACTTGTTTTCCTAAATTTGGGGACATATTATAGAATTGTCCGTAAGATTCTAGATTACCATTTAAGAACTGTGAATGTGATTTCTTAACATATACATTTTTGTTAAGTGAATATTGCTTTTTAAAATATGCTTTGTACTAATGAATCTTGTAATATCAAAAGATTCAGAGTTAAAAGCAATCCCAGTACAGCACATGATCAACTTACAGATTTCCCAGTAATATCCAGTCAAAAAGTCAAATACTATAGCTAGACTAACTGGTACTAGATTTCCAAAGTTATGATGATGTTAAAAGATTGGCTTTAGATTTTTTCATTTGTAATGATAGCACAGTATAAAGTCAATAGCTCTTGATTTTCTTGCTATGTCATATCCAGTGACCACTGATGCTAATGTGGAACATTTCCTGCTAGTTACTCATTGATTAAAAAAAAGTCATTTTTTTTCCAGAGACTGGGCAGGAGATAAGATGTCAAGAAGTAATAAGTAGTGAAGTGAAAGAGGAGAAAGCAAAGGAATCAAAAAGAGAAAACATTAAAGTGCTGTTATTTTTTTCCTCTGTGTATGTAGATGGACAGGAAAATTATAGCAGTAATTGCAGACTCCTTTTCACTGAAGACAGAATGGCCTTGGGGAATTAGAGTATGGGAGAAAAAGTCCAGTGAAACTGCATTCTTATCCAGGCCCCACCTGCCTTGCTGGATAAGGCTTTGGCCAAGATCATTTACCCTTTCCGGGCCTTAGTTTCCTTAAATGTTGAAAAACATTATTTGCCTCTTTGAGTTACTGAGAAGACGAATGAGATAATGCTTCTGAAGCACCCAAAAACTGGTCAGAAAAAGGTGCTATAAGAATACTAAGTAGTACTATTATTACTGAACTGTGTATCCCGTTGGCATGAGTCATTTTGCTGCAAAGATGCATAAGCAATTCCAAGCGTGGTGGAGGACCAGACACAATGGGAAGAGGCAAGTACTCTTAGGTGGTATTAAGGGGGAAGATCTCAATTGCAGTGAAATCTGCCCTTGTTCAAAGAACAAAAGGGGGAGACGGGACAAGACTTGTTTTTTAACTGTAGGCATACATCACAGATATTGTGTGTGTGGTTCTAGACTGTGGCAATAAAGCGAGAGTCTTGCAAATTTTTTTGTTTCTTAAAATAGACAATGAAGTTTGTTGCAACAATTGACTTTTCCTTTCATGACAGAGATGATGTTTGATAGCATTTTACCCACAGCAGAACTAGTTTCAAGTTGGAGTTACTACTTTATCAACTAAGTTTATATAATATCTAAATCCTTTGTTGTCATTTCAACAATGTTCATAGCATCTTCACCAGGAGTAGTTTCCATCTCAAGAAACCATTTTCTTTGCTCATCCTCAAGAAGCAACTTCTCATCTGTTCGAGTTTGATCGTGAGATTGTAGTCCCATTTTCAGGCTCCACTTCTAGTTCTCTTGCTGTTTCCACCACATTTGCAGTTCCTTCCTCCACTGAAGTCCTGAACTCCTCAAAGTAATCCATGGGGGTTGGAATCAAATTTTTCCAAACTCCTGTTAATGTTTGGAAAATGACCTCCTGTAAATGACCTCCTCTCAAGAACCAAGTATGTTATTAATGGCATCTAGAATGATGAATCTTTTCCAGAAGGTTTTCAATTTACTTTGCCCAGATCCATCAGAGGAATCACTATCTATGGCAGCTACAGCCTTAGGAAATGTATTTTTTAAATAATAAGACTTAAAAGTCAAAATGACTGCTTGATCCATGGGCTGCAGAATGGATGTTATGTTATCAAGCATGAAAATAACATTCATCGCCTTGTACATCTCTTTCAGAGTTTGTGGGTGACCAGGTGCACTGTCAATGAGCAGCAATATTTTGAAAGAAACCTTTTTTTCTGATTAATGTCTCAACAGTGAGCTTAACATTTTCAGTAAACCATGCTGTAAACAGATGTGATGTCATCCAGGCTTTGTTGTTCCATTTATAGAGCACAGGAAGAGTCAATTTATCACAATTATTAAGGGCCCTAAGATTTTTGGAATGGTAAATAAGCACCAGCTTCAACTTAAAGTCACCACTTGCATTAGCCTCTAACAAGTCAGTCTGTCCTTTAAAGCTTTGGAGCCAAGCATTGACTTCTCCTCTCTAGCTATGAAAGTCCTAGATGGCATCTTCTTCCAATAGAAAGCTGTTTCATCTACATTGAAAACGTAGATGCATTTAATGCAGCTACCTTCATCAATGATCTTAGTAGCTCTTCTGGATAACTTGCTGCAGCTTCTCCATCAGCACTTGCTGCCTTACCTTGTACTTTTATGTTATGGAGATGACTTCTTTCCTTAAACCTCAAGAACCAACTTCTGCTATTTTCCAACTTTTCTTCTGCAGCCTCTTCACCTTTCATAGAATTAAAAAGAATTAGGGACTTGCTCTGGATTAGGCTTTGGCTTAAGTGAATGTTATGGCTGGTTTGATGGTCTCTCCAGACCACCAAGACTTTCTCCATATCAGCAATAAGGCTGTTTTGCTTTCTTTTCACTGGATAGCACTTTTAATTTCCTTCAAGAACTTTTGGCACATGCCTGTAATTCCAGCTACTCTAGAGGCTGAGGCAGGAGAATCACTTGAGCCCAGGAGTTTGAGGTTGCAGTGAGCTATGATGGTGCCACTGCACTCTAGTCCAGGCAACAAAGCAAGACCCTGTCTCACACAAAACAAAACCAAAAAAAAAAAAAAAAAACCCAAAAACTTTTCCTTTGCATTCACAGCTTGACTAACTTACTGGTGCAAGAGGCCTAGTTTTTGGACTTTCTTGGCTTTCCACTTGCCTTCCTCATTAAGCTTAAACATTTCTAGCTTTTGATTTGATTTAAAGTGAGAGATATGGGACTCTTCCTTTCAGCTGAACACTCAGAGGCCAATACAGGGTTATTAACTGGCCTAATTTCAATATTGTGTGTCTCAGGGAATAGGGAGGCCTAAGGAAAAGGACAGAGACTAGGGAACAGCCAGCTGGTCCATGGAGTAGTCAGAGCTGACACATTTAAGTGTACTGTCTTTTATGAACGAGGTTCCTAGCTACCCAAAACAATTACAAAGGTAACATCAAAGACCACTGATCACTGATTAGAGAAAATAATAACGAAGCAGTTTGACATATTGTAAGAATTACCAAAATGTGACTCACAGACTTAAAGTGAGCACATGCTGTTGGAAAAATGGCCCTGACAGACTTGCTTCACGTAGATTTGCCACAAATCTTCAACTTGTAAAAAATAAATTAAATAAGAAGAGCAATAAAGGGAAGCACAATAAAATGAGGCATGCGTATATAGCAAGGTGGTTATACAAACAAGACTCCTGAAACCCTAGCCCTGCTCCAACACGGCCTTTGCCAGGTTATGACTGTGGGTAAATCACTGTTTCTTTAAACTTCATTTTTTCCAATCTGTAAAATGGGGATTATACTAGTATCTATAGGGTTGTTGTGGGGATTTAAAAATGTACACTGTGGCAAGGACTCAGTAAAGTAAGCTATCATTGTAATGTATGGGAGACTGGAAAGCAGAAATGCACATTGATAATAAGTGAATCTTCAAAAACAAATGAGACAAAAAGGCAAGTTTTTATTTTATAAAACATTATATGACTTAAGGGAAGAGAAAAACTTGTTTTGTCAAGTCTAAATCCACTCCTATTTCACGGGTCCATAACTAGTCAAACCTTTGATATTTGGCACACAACACACAAACAGGAAAAGCCTTACCTTGTGCTTTAATAAAAACAGCTTTCTATTTTAAAACGATATGTACATTTGAACAATCTCTCAGATATGCAATAGCTCTTATAAAACAAAGCTCAGACGCAGTGTTTTTGTTGTTTTAAAGAGAGAAATCAGGGGCTGGAAGATTATTATTCTCCCTTTGAAACGCGCTCTGGGATGGGAAGCCTCGGGGCAAAGCCCTGGGGGCAGGACGCGAGGTTTTTTTTTGTTTTGTTTTTTTTTTTTTAATCGATCCCGGAACCTTCGCGCGGGCGAGGGGGCGGGAGCTCGGAGGGGCGCGAGGGAGGGGTCTGGCCGCGGGGCGCGGCGCCGCTCGCCCATCCCCCGAGCGCGGCGGGGCGGCCGGCCGGCGGCGGGGACGATGCGGAGGGGCGGCGACGCGGGCCGGACCCAGCCGGGGCGGCGGGGCGGGCGCCGCCCGAGGGGGTAGGGCGCGCGCGGGGGCGCGCCGGGCCGGGGAGGCGCGCTCCGGCCGCGCTCGCTCCGCGCTCCCTGCGCTCCCTTCGCTCGCTCGCTCGCTCGCTCGCTCCCTCCTCCCTCGGCAGCCGCGGCGGCAGCAGGAGAAGGCGGCGGCGGCGGCTGGGGATCAGACATGGCGGCGGATCTGAACCTGGAGTGGATCTGCTCCCTGCCCCGGTCCTGGACGTACGGGATCACCAGGGGCGGCCGAGTCTTCTTCATCAAGTAAAGAGCCGGCGACGGCGCGGGGGCTCGGAGGGGGCGGGAGGGCAGGAGGCGGGAGGCTGGTGCGAGCGGGAGAGAGCGCCCGGGTCTGTGCCCCTGCAGCCCCCTCGGCTCGCCCGCGCGTCTACACTCACGCTCGGTCTGTGCCCCTTCTCTCTCCCCTGCAGCGAGGAGGCCAAGAGCACCACCTGGCTGCACCCCGTCACCGGCGAGGCCGTGGTCACCGGACACCGGCGGCAGAGCACAGGTAACGCCGAGCCCCGCCGGGCCCGAGCGGAGTTGGGTTCCGCCGGGAGGAGGCGGCAGAGCCCGGGCCGCCCGGCGCCCGGCAACCTGCCCCGAGCCGCGGGCCCCGGGAGGCGGCGAGGCGGGGCGGAGGCCGGCGGGGGCGGCCGCAGGTAGAGCGGCTGCCGGGGCTCCGCGCCTGGAGTTCTCCCCGGTCTCTGGGCACCTCTTCCTCCTCAGCCTTTCATCGCCGCTGGGGGACGGCGCCCTCTTACTGCGCCCTTTCTCCCATCCCAACCTGGACACCCCCGACCCCTAGGGCGGCCAACAATCCCCTCCGTGAGACCTGGAATCCTGAGTTTTTCGTCCGCGGCCGTTCCTAATCTCCCCCGCACCCCCCAGCTCCCATCTCACCCCCAAAAGCTTTTAGGAAGCCCTTCCCCACTGCCCTTCCTGCAGCCCCGGGACCCTGCCACTCGCCCGCCGGGATAACGTCTCCACATCCTCTCCCCCTCCCAGGAGAGCTGCCTCCTCCCTTGCAGCTTCCTCCTCCTAGGTGGGACTTGTGGGTAGGTGGCTGATTGAGGAGGAGGAGGAGAGGAGTCCGGGGGTGCTGCGATCCTGTCTGTGACAGGGAACAGCTCGGGAAACGCTTGGCGCGTTCCCTCCTGCCACGGGAGGAGCAGCCGGAGCCGGAGGAGGCATTCGCAGCCGCAGTTGCTCGCTCTCCGGATTCAAAGTCCCCGGCAGCGGCACTGAGGTTGCACAGACCGCCAGGAGGCGGTGGGCGTGCGAGGGGGTGTCCCGTGTGTGGGCACGCGCGCCCCGCTTGGAGGGGGCCGGCGTGGCAGCGGATCTCTCTGATGGCTTTGGTAGCATGTTTGAATGCTAAATGTGAGTTGAGCTGGAGAAGGGCTCCTTGTAGTTTCAGTGCTGGTCTGGCTTTCTTTTGTCATTCTTTGTTTACATTCGTGAAACTTGTTTGTCTTTGAAATGTAACATGTGTTCCCTGACTGGCCTGCCTCTATTTCTGGTGGTTGGAAAGGCTTGAGAACAGTTTGGATCGAAGGTGAGGCCAGTTTCAGCAGTCCCTCCGAGCTGTTCTCCGGGTTACTTTCTCTCCAACTCTGAGATTCTGTGAATCTGTTGAAGTTGCCAGCATGTTGAACAAACCTGCCTTTTCTGTTAAATGCTGGGGTTCTGTGAAGTGACTAATGTCTCCAAATTTGCAAAAAGGTGGAGGAGGTAAGGGAAGGCTGGTGTAGCAAGCATGATGAGGTTACATTTTTTGAAGGTATTTCTGACTAATACACCATCATATTTCTTAATCTCCCAGTGCAGTCTTTTGCTTCAACATACCTTTCTAGTGTTTTGCATACATACTTCAACTTTGATGTTCTCTTTGCTTTTGTGGATAGTAACAAATTTATTTCATAAAAGACAATGTGGTATTTAAATTAGCCTTATCATCCTATGGAATTATGCTTATTTCGGTTATGTGTAATATAAATATGTGTCTTAATTACCCCCACAGATTTGGTAACATTCACACCACAGAAAAATGTTATTCTCTTAGGTGATTTCATATTAATTTTTTTTCTGGTTTGGTTTGGTTTGCTTGGATTCTGTGGTTTTGTGCACACACCAATGGCTTTTTAATTCAGAGAGGTATTATGATTAAATCCAAACCACTTGTCATTCATAAGTAATATGTTAGCACATGAAGATATCATCATCGGTCACCTGAATCATTTCCGAGTTTATTACTTGGAACTTCGCATTTCTTAAAGTCAGGACTCAAGCGTATTGAAATACACACAGAAGAATTTGGTGTCAGATTTCTTTTCCACTAATTAAGTACTTAGGAAGTTCTTCCTTCTTAGCTGTGACACTTCCTAGATGGATTCATTTATGAAGCTGAAAAATATGGTCTTAAATAGACACAATATTCCCCAGAAGAGACAGACATTTCCTCTTATGCACAGTTTTGGCTTTTTGCCAAATATTCATAGGTATTTCACTTGGGATTTAGAAGGCTCCCTTTTGATTTTTGGGGTGCCAAAGCATAGTTGCTCTCCATCCTGATCATTAGAGTGTATAATTACATTAGATAATCTCTAATACTGTCGATTCTTTTCTGGCAACTTTAAGTTTGAATTGCCCTTTTTCAAAAAATGAAATTATATCTGTTATTAATTGTATTGCCAGTCCTACACTTCGTTAGAAACCTACTTAAAATAGCTAATCATGAAAATGAATAGTTAAAATAGTTATTTTGCTATCTCATTGAAGTAATACTAATTGTAATATATGTATGTTTTTTTAGATTTGCCTACTGGCTGGGAAGAAGCATACACTTTTGAAGGTGCAAGATACTATATAAAGTGAGTTTTTTGACTTTCAATTTTTTTTGGTAATTTGAATGCTGTGGTTATTCTTCAGTTGAATGGTTGTATACCCAGACAGGATCATGATTTTCTAAGGTTTATTATATAATGTTGACCATATTCTTTATTTTGTATAGTGTTGGAATTTTGAGAGGAAAAAAATAGCACTCTTAGTTTTCTTATGTTATTTGCCCAGATACTCATTGATTTGGAAATTAGATCATTTATGGCCATAATTACATTTTTTGGTGCTTCAGTATATATTCCTCAGTGATAGAGAACATTATAGTCTTTTGTCTTTAGCTATGTGGTACTTAAAGCTTTGGCCCTTGACTATCTGTGTTAACAGATACCAAACAAAAAAATAATCTTTGAGTTATGCTACCATCTTTCTTTTTAAGTGAATTCTGTTCGTGTGTATTTTGACCAGGGCTATAAATAGGTAGCAAAATCTGGGTACAATCTGATGAACAATGACAGGGCAAAAAGTAAAAATAAGCAGAAATAAATACTGAGTATTTCACAAACGTATCTTGGAGCACTGGTTGTAATTTTGCTTCAGTTTATTTAAGTATATCTAAGTCAGTGTGTTTTATTGGTGGTGTGTTTGTGCTTGAATAAGAGGCTTTCAATAGAGCTTGAGAAGAAAAACCAGTCAGTCCCAACCTTAAAACCAGTTCTATAGAATATTGAAATAATTTCTATTCAAATTTAGCTTAGTAGTTCTTGGAAACAAATACAAAGCTGGAGGTCAGCATCATGTAGGAAAATTTTTAATCCCCCAAGGAAAAATAAAACTGGTTTTGGCTTTTTTAAAATACCAGAAACTGTTTACTTAAGAGCTTGTTGTTTAAAATTTTTTGTTTAATTTTAATGAACTGAAGCTTGAAAGAGAATGCTTAACTACAAGATTTGGGTGAGACTTCAGTAGTTTATTGATAATAACAGATACCTAGTTAAAGTTACCTTTATTTCATTGAGCCTAGTAAGTTATTCTTACTGACATTTTTTTAAGATCATTGCCATACTTCAACTAAATTATAATTACCTGTATGGTTCTTTAAATGTTTTAGAAGGGTATTTTTATAAAATGTCAAGGGATATTTATAGGTATTTGAAATGCATGCTGTTGGTTGTAAAAATAGAAAACGCAGAAGATACAGGAACAAGAGTAATTTCATGGTGTGGTCCTTCTCTGAATATTTTTTAGTTAAATCTTTTATTTGGAGATTTTGTTATATATTATCAGATGGCCTAAAAAATAAATAAATACATACTTGAATAAAGTGCATTCACCAAGTATTTTTCTAGTGGCTGTTTTCATCATAAATTGAAATGAATTTGTATTGCCATGAAAAGGAATGCTTTTTTTTTTTCCTATGTAGTATTGGTATTTCTGAAGAAAGATAGATTTTTTCAGTTGAGGTCATTTATTCAATGTAATTTTGACTGCTTACTGTACATTAAGCCTAGTCGATTTTATAAGAACAGAGGTAACATTTTAATTCTCAATAATATTTTAATTTCTGTGCATGCATACATTCTTGGATGAATGTTTATTTGACAGTACAAATGTTATTCTCCGTTGGCTGAATATGTATCTTTTAATTTAGAACTAAGCTGTTAAAAAGACATTGAGTTTTCTTTTGTTTTACTAGCCATTTTGATTAGATTTTCTTTTATGTTGACTCAGACAAATTAGAATTTTATGTGAGTGCTATGCCTAAGTAAGTTTCTCAGGAAAATTAAGACAATGTTAAGAAAGCTGTACTAATTTAACTCTGAAGATATTTTAAACTAGCAGGTTTTAATCATGTTGGTATTGATAGACAGTCAATAATTGTGTCTAAAAATAGCAATAAATAATTTATGTTACAAAAGTGATTTTTTCTAAAATTAAGCATATTGTAGAACTATATCACTCATTAAACTTTTAAGTAAACGAATCATTGACAAATATGATTTACTGAATGTTAGGTGCTACTGCTTGGGTTATGGCAGAAGACTAATTTCTTTTAAGATTAGTTAAATCCCTAATGTAGGCTATAACTTCCTAGAAACGTTTTAACGTACTTGTTATGAGCAATCAGGAATGTTTTATCTTTCTAATGTGATAGGAGTACTACTTACATCTTAAACTTTATAATTTACAGAGTGCTTTCATATATATTATTGAATCTCATTTTAATCATGGAAGTAGTCAGGAGAATTACTGTTTCCATTGTCATACCACATAATAAAACAACAGAAACATGCCTCTGGAATTTGTAGTTTGCAAAGATAGCACAATGAGAAACACCAGGAACATGAACTATATTTAGAATACTCAAAGAGTAGAGGAAAAGATAGGGGTCTGAAGTAGGAAAGTGATTAGTGTTGGTGGATATAGTTTTTCATTGTTGTTTCTTTCTTAGATGAAGAAAGGAGATTATTGATCAGATTATAAGAGGAGGAGGTTATAGAGCGAGCTGGGTGGATTTTGTTCACATAGGAAGAGGGAAGGTGGAAAGGCCAATAAAAGACCGCTCAGCCCTCTGGCTATTATTCCTAATAGGTGGCTCCCATAGCAAGAAGGGAGGCAACAACTTGAGTTGTTCTACTTTGTTCTCAAGTGAAGTACATTTAACTCTCACATTATTTTTCTTCTGAACTCATGTTGGTGGTTGTTAAAAATGGCAGGTTGTCAAAAAATTATCTTTGGATAATATTTTGGTATTGACAGTTGCATCTCTATAGGTGGTAAGGGAAAGAGATCATTGGAGTGAGGAAGTCATAAGAACTGGACTAGTCTTGAACTTGTTAATGACTTGGGAGCTCAGTCTTCACATCTTTATATTAGACTAGCTGGAAAGGCAACTTCTAAATTCCATCCCATTTCCGAATTTCTTTGACTTTTATACTGTTCTGAGAATTACAATATTCTAGAGAACAATGATCTCACAGTGTCAAGAAGAGATGATGTGGGAAATATGAAAGCTAGTTAGCTTTCCTATCCTATTTAACTATTTTATTCTCTCTCTTTAAGCTTTGTAGACAGAACCACAGATAAGTGTGAAGCATGCAGTGTCGGAGTTGCGTGTACTTTGTTTCTGTTGCTTTTTGTGCTTATATTTCCTTGTAAAACGTTTGTATACATTTCTTCCCTGCAGAGCTTCATAGAAACAGATATTAGTGCTAATGTCAACAAAAGACCTGATCAGAGTAAGCGTTGTATATAGGTTTGAGTTGGATAATTGGTTTATTTTATACACTATATTTTTTTTTGGAAGACAGGATCTTGCTCTGTCACCCCAGCTAGAGTGCAGTGGGATCATCATAGTTCACAGCAACCTCAAACTCCTGGGCTTAAACGATCCTTCTACCTCAGCCTCCCAAGTAGCTGGGACTACAGGTGTGTGCCACCACACCCAGCTGTACTTTTTTCTATTTTTTTAGTAGACACAGCATCTTGTTCTTGCTCAGGCTAGTCTCAAACTCCTGACCTCTAGAGATCCTCTTGTCCACAGCCTCCCAGAGGACTAGGATTACAGGCATGAGCCACTGTGCCTAGCCCCCCTTTATACACTTTTTGAAGTTGGTTCTTTAATACAAGTTTACAGTTAGGTAACAAAATATATGATATAGAGAATGTGTTTTCCTGTACATCCATTTGGCCAAAAGTAATAAATGAAAATTCTTTATCTTAAAGATA